AATGCAGGCGAGGATGACAGAGCCATTGTGTCCGCCCTTGGCCGCGACGGCATTCCCGACCCAGCCTGCGCCATTGTCCTTGCATTCAGCGCAGCGCGCAGCAGCCTCAGCCTATTGGGCCTCGTGGGCCGGCTGCCTGTCTTGCACTTGCTTTTATGCTGACGCTGCCCAAGACCTTGTGGCACGTTTGTCTGCGCCGGTCCCATTGGCAAGGTGCTTGCATGCAGCGTGCCGTGCTCTGGAGGAGTTGCAAGCTGCGGGGTGGAGGCCACAGCTGCCGGGCCAGCAGTCCACGCCACCAGCCCTGCGCGGCCCCAGCAGTGCTTTGCGCGGCTGGCAGTGTGAAGCTGCTCGCGCCGTGCTGGCCCACTGCCAGGAAGTCTTGCTTGGAGGTTTGCATCCGGCTGGCCATGCTGCACTCCCAGTCAGGCCCTTGGCGACCACCGTGCTGCTTGCACGCGATCAGGGGTTCTTCGGGGGCGAGGTTGTCCTTTGGAGAGGTGCGCCGCGCGGGTTTGCCGTGAGGCGGTCGCAACACCCGTCTGGCAGACATGAACTTGCAAGTCGACCGAGTCGACGACAGGCGGCGGAAGTTGTTGCCAACGGCTTGTCGCTTTGCAATGGCCAGCAGCTTGCCGTCGACACCACCTTGGTGACGCCCTTGTCTGGCCAGACGTTCGGCTCGCCTTCATGCCTGAAGGCACGCATGCGTCTTTCGTCGGGGCCAGCTTTGACTTTAAGGCGGCGCATAAACAAATCAAAGTTCACCCAAGTGAGCATGGACTTCTTTTGTTCCGCTTTGAAAACACTCTATACCATTATAGAGTATGCCACTTCGGAGCACGTTTCTCCGCATACTGGTGGGCAACGCACAGGAGCCTTCTTGCTGAGACTGTTGCACGGCATTTTAGCCGACCACCCACACAAGGCCTGGTTGTTTGTCGATGACCTCCTTGCAACGTTGAATCGCTCAAACCCACTCGAGCAGTTGGCGCTCATAGTGGTATTTTTCGCGTCAATTTCGGCACCCATCTCATGGAAAAAAATGCAACTCCAAAATGACCTCACTTGGTGCGGGTGGTCGATCAACTTCGGGCGGGAGACCATCATTCAGCTCACACTGCAAAAAACCCTGAAACTCAGAGGTCAGGCAGAATCAAGCGCAAACTCCTGGAGCAAGTGCTAGGACTGCTCCTATTGGCTTTGGCGCGCCGCCGCAAGGAACGAGCCTACCCAAACCTTGCCGGTCTGCTCGCTGCCGCTTGGTTGTCCTCGCTGTGGAGGTTGGAGGGTGGCGGAGCGAGGAAGCGGCATCCTTTCTTTCTTGGGGCGCGCCCTTGCCCGCACCAAGGCACGGGAAGTGCCTGCACGGCTCCGGGTCAGTGTGACTCGTTCCTTGGTTGCACAGTGGTCTGCCCTCTTGGCACCGGCCATGACAGCCCTTGCCTCCTCCGGCTGGGCCCGGCCTCTGCAATGTGGACGGGGCGCTGCCCAGCACCCTGCTTGCCAACCCCTCGCATCCCGCCTGCCTTGCCGGTGAGGGGCGCACCCCTTGTGCGGGAGGCTGTCCGGCTCACCAACGCGCGCGGAGAAAAACATGGGTATTCGTGGGATCGAGTGATCCAAAAGGTGCGTACGTACAGTATCAGTCTAGGAGCCGTGAGGGGCATTGCAACCGGTTCGTACGGAACCTGGAGTTTGCGCAGGGGGGCTGCGGCGCTGGGCGGCCCCAGTGCAGCATGACGAGTCGACAGGCTAGCGCTGTTATCCGCAAGAGTTGGCGCCACAGGCCCAGTAAGGATGGTTTGGGCGGCGCCTGCACTGCAGCTTCTCCTTGCAATTCTCCGCAGCCAGGTAGGAGCAACGCTTGCGAACTGGTGGTGATGGTGATGGTGATGCTGATGGTGATGGTCATGGTGATGGTGATGGTGATGGTGATGATGAGGATGAGGATGAGGATGAGGATGGGGATGAGGCTGAGGCTGAGGATGAGGATGATGATGATGATGATGATGATGATGATGATGATGATGATGATGATGATGATGATGATGATGATGATGATGATGATGATTCGGCGCGGCGGAGTGTGTGCGGCGGCGGCGGGCTTGCATTCCTTGAGCCCTTTGCTAGCCCTGTTAAGTTCCTTCAGCAAATGCACTAGCAGTTTGCGCCAGTCACATCATGTCGCTGCGCATTGCCAGCCGCTTGCATATGCAAAACAACTTGTGATTGTCCACTGCAGCTTGGGATCCAGGCATGGTGTTGGATCGGCCCGTTTCTCGGGATCGATGGCTTCGCTCGCTGGCGCTAGCAATCAGGTTGCGACAGTCAAATGTGCAGGCAGGGGGCTTAGCAGAGGAGCATTCGGAAGACTCGGCGGGCAAAGGTGGGCAGGCGTGTTTCTTTGAACGTTGGGATGCCCGCCAGGTGGATGTATTTCTGCACAGCTCTTGCTGCAGGCCAGGGGGTTGGCAGCAAGGCTTGGAGCTGTTGCGTGGCCTTGGGCTGGGCAGCGTGCAAAGTGATGTGACGTGCTACAACAGTGCGGCTCACAGCTGCACAAAAGGACGCTCGGCAACACGGAAAGCGGGTGAGATTCCAGTGCGTCAACTTTTCGTCATTTGCAAGTAAAACAGGACTTGACCTTGAGAGGTGGCAGGCCAAAGGTGGCACCGTGCAAGAGCCTTGTGTCGTGGCAGAGTAAGGATCGGTGTGGCCAAAATCATTGGTAGCACTTTCTGATCTGAAGACGTCAAACTTGCAAGTGGACATTGTTTCATGCAACGTGGCCATGACCGCTGGGTTGGCTGGCCAGCATTGGAGACGAAGTTTGGAAACGCGGAAGGAGCTTTGGTGGCTGGACATGAGCAGCGTCACGCAGAAGTTGGTGTTACAAAGCGGCTGGCAGAGAGCGACTTCGTTGTTTGAAGAGCTGCAAATCCGAGGTTTGGAGGTGCACGCGCTTGCTGGCAACTTGCTTTTGAACCTGCTGCCGGACTGGAGGGGGACTTTGCTGATGCTGGCGAAGTTCAGGGCAGTCCGGCTCGCAGACATCGCCTCATACAGCTCGGCTATGAAGGCCTGCGAAAGAGCGCAGCTGTGGCCATGGGTGCTACACTTATTTCTAGAGGCGCGCCGGCGGTCGCTCGAAACCAACGTGGTTTGGCAGAACTCGGCGATCAGCGCTTTTGTAAGATGTGCTCGGTGGCGAGGAGCCCTGGAGTTTTTTGACGCAATGCAAATGGACGGCCTGCAAGCAGATTTGATCACGTACAGCGCTGCCACTGTTGCAGCAGGGGCTGGGCACTGGGCTTTGGCCCTGCAGGTTTGGGCCAGCATGAAGCGATTGCAGACAGATTTGGTCGCCACAAGTGCTGCAGTGAGTGCCTGCGAAAGCTGTTGGCAACAGGCCACTGGCCTTCTTGAAGAGCTAAAGCAGATGTACATAGAGGTCAATGTGGTGGCCGCAAATGCGGCAATGACTGCAAACAAAGCTGCTGGTGAGTGGCGCTTAACTTTGCAAGGTCTTGCCTCTTTGACAGCTTCTTCGCAAGCGGACTCGGCAACCTTCCATGTTGCCATGGGTGCATGGCGCGGGGTTAAGGCGTGGCAGGAAGCGCTGATGTGCGCAGCGACGCTGCGAAGGCAATCGCTCAAAGTGGATGCGATTACAGGCGGGTCAGCCATCACCGCCTGTTCTGAGGGGAGTCAATGGCAGGGAGCCCTTCATACCCTGTTTGACTTCTGCACGGGTGTCAGCATTGTGGCCTGCAATGCTGCAATCAGTGCCTGCCAGCAGGAAGCACTGTGGGCAACAGCATTGTGGTTGTTGAACTCTGTGGAGGCACGCAGCCTGCAGGCTAACATAGTTTCATACAATTCAGCAATGAATTCATGCGAAAGAGGCGGGCGATGGCAGTTGGCGGTTGCTTTGTTTGCTGATTTGCGCCTCAAACAAGTGGAGCTTGACATCAATACGTGGAATGCGGTAATTTGTGCTTGCCGCAGCGCCGGCCTGTGGCAGGCAGCGTTGGAGTTGCTGTTCTCCGTTGGTTTGCAACGAGACGTGGTGACGTTCAACTCTGCGGCCAGTGTTTGTGAACAAAGCAGCCAGTGGCAGGCATCACTTTGTGTGTTTGAGGCATTGTGCGATGCATGTTTCAAGCCAGACGCTGTGTCCTACAGTGTGGCAATCAATGCATGCGAGCAGGGCGAGCAGTGGCAGTACGCGCTCGGATTGTTGCAGATTGCACATGTGCCAGCCTCAAGCGGAGTTATTCTGCACAATTCTGCAGTTAATGTCTGCTCAAGCAGTAGCCAGTGGCAACGAGCCTTGCTCTTGGTTCAGCACCTGGTGGCTTCCAAGCTGCAAACCAACCTATATACATACTCTGCCGCAATAAGTGCTTGTGAAAAAGGGCGGCAGTGGCAACTAGCGCTCTACTTCTTGGAGGATCTGGCTCGCAGGCGACTAGAGAGAGATGTTGTGACTCACACGGCGGCCATCAGTGCATGTGAGAAAGCGGGGCGCTGGCAGCACGTGCTCCGCCTCTTTTCAGAGCAGCGGGCAAGGGACGTCATTTGTTACAGCACTGCCATCAACGCATCGATCATCGGCATGTTGCATCGGACAACGCCTCGCCTTCTGACCGAGCTCCATGAATTCGTCATGCAGGTATGGCAAGAGGCTTGATTGGGCTTGATTCATGTTTCTCTATGCATGCACAAGTTTTGAAATCGTTTGCACATGCAGAAGCAAGATGGTATGGCTTTTTGCCTTTGCCATCATATCGAGATGTGCATGGAAAAACGTGGAATGCATCAAGGCAGAGGGCTAGTCAATCAAACAATTAGTTTCTTGGTCCCATGTCGCTCGGCGTGATTCGGTGCTTTGTCTCGCGTTTGGAAAAGGCAACTCAGGGTCCGATTTCTCGTTTTTGAGGTGAGGTCAAGGTGGACAACTTTCAGTTCAGGGGGGTTTGTGCAATGCTTGTTGGAAGTGCAGCTCAAAAAATGGCTCGAGCCACGCACGTGAAACCGCGGATGTGATTTCCAAGTTTTTCGGTGCCAATGGTTTCTGAGAAGCAGAGCCGTGAGGACGTGGTCGCCGATACTGCGTTTGCGGCGGCATGCACGGAGTTCCAGAAGTATTATGCATTGTATGGCAAGGAGGAGTGGTGGTGGATCATGGATGACTCCATGGATGCCATTGGTGCTCAGCTGAATAAGCAGGGCTACTGCATTATTGATGGCTTCCTCACCGCTGACCAAGCGCAACAGCTACACAAAGAGGTCGCTGAATGCCACGCAGAAGGTCGCTTGGAAGGCGGAGGTTTGGTCAACGGCAAGCTGCCTTCATCCGATGATGCAAAGTATGCGGACAGAGCCACTAGAGGCGACGTGATTGGTTGGTTTGACAGCACGGAGGATGAGTGGCCGCATGGGAGGGGACTGGAAGGCTACCTGCTGAAGCTCGGCACACTCGTGTCAGAGCTGCAAAGGCCCGTTCCGCACCTGGCGAAGATCACTTCCCGCTCCAAGGCGATGGCAGCTTGCTATCCTGGAGGCGGCGCGCGGTATGTGAAGCATGTGGACAATGACGGGAAGCACCCGCTCTGCAAGACTCGGCTTTTGACCGCCTTAATCTACCTGAACGGCTCTTGGCATCAGGGTGATGGAGGAGAGCTGGCAATCTTCAGGGCAGAGGATGAGCATTCTTTGCGTCGCACAGTGCCTCCCCTTCAGAATCGCTTGCTTTTGTTCTGGTCGGACTGGCGGACACCCCACGAGGTGAGACCCGCGCAAAAGCCGCGGTACTCGGTCACAGTGTGGCTCCTGGACAACACGCAGAAGGTCGAGGAGACAGCTCAGCCAGCGATTCCGGCAAATTTGCCACCCCCAAGCACAGCAGGTGAGTGTGACTACGAGTGGCAGCAGGCAGCTACAGGGTGGGATTTGAAGGTGCGCTTGCCGGAAGACATGGCGGCAGAGTGTCCCGTGCTAGACATATCTGACGTACAGGTCAGGGTTGCTTCAAGCAGTGGCGAGCCGCTTTTGTGCCTCCCCCTGCCATGCTGTGGAGATGCCGTGCCAAAGTGGTCCCGGAAAAGGCGCCAGCTCACGGTCCACTTCTCCGACCTGAGATGCCTGGCTGACAGCGCGGGGCAGTTTGCGGCCCAATTGGCATCTCAGGGCTGGGGTGTGATCGATGGATTTCTGCCGGGGCCAGAAGCTGACGAGCTCAGGCAGTTTGTCCTGGCAGAGCGGGCAGCTGGAAAGCTGCAAACGGGCAGAAATGCGCATGAGGGCCCGCGAAAAGCAGACAACGCAGAGGGCAAGTCGCCCATGAAGAACGACGAGTACAACTTCCTGGAGGGAGACCCTCCCGCAGTTCTCCGAGGGTTAACTCGACGCTGCAACCAGCTGCTGGCCAAACTGCTGGTGGCTGATCAGCTGCCGCTGCATGGGAAGAACCTGCTCCAGGGACACCCCATGCTGGCAATATATCCTGGCACCGGCGCAGCCTATGGCCGGCATCTGGACTCAACTGTTGGCGGCCGTGGTGCGAATGGCCGCGTGTTGACCCTAGTGCTCTACCTCAACCCCTTTTGGAAAGCTTCCCATGGTGGCTGCCTGAAGTTGTTGCAAGAGCTGGCCGACAAAGATGGCATTGAGTTGGAACCACTGCATGGTCGGCTGGTTGGGTTTCTCTGTCAGGACCAGAATCCTCATGAGGTTTTGCCATGTTGGGCAGACCGAGTGGCAGTGACCGTGTGGTATTACGATGGTGATCGTTTGACAGAACGCCGCCCAGCTGCACAGTGAGCTTAGTGTTGGGTTCATGTTGCGGCTTGGTGGCTTTTGCCCTGGCATGCGTAAGAGGTCTTCAAAAAACATGAGATACATTGACATGTGCATCATATGCAAGATGGCATGAACTGGCAGAGCTGAGGTTGTTTGGGTGACGAGGGCAGTCTGGTTGGCGTGTTTGAAGGTGGCTGATCATGGCTTCGCTTACTTAGCGGAAGAAGTTTCGTGTTGCGGTAGGCAAAGCCCTTCCCTGCAAGTGCGCTGCCAGGCCATGTGTTCCGGCTTGGGCACGCATTCAGCAGTTTCTACCCTTGAACGTCTTGCTGCAAGACATAAGGGAGGCAAAATGGCAGAGCGCATGATTGCCACCGTGGCTCGTATTCATACCCAAAGTGCAAACAGAAAACATATAAACAGACCGACAAGCGCACATACATACGTCAATGCGTACATATATAGCTAGCAAACTTACCCACCTACATTCCTACACACATGTATGCGCACGCACATCGCACACACACGTATGACATTTATAAAGCAAGCCTACGTACCTACGCACCCACCCACCTACCCACCGACCTACCTACCTGCCTGCCTACCTACCTACCTACCGACCTACCCACATACATGCACACGTACATATGCACACATACACACTCTTAGATACGTACGCACATGCATACACACATGCATGCACACAGCAGTGCGCACGTACACAGAGCAATGCAAAATGCGTGCGGGTACGTGCATACATAGGTAAACACACATAACCAAACATGCGTGCGTACGAATATGAACACCAAAATAACACCCGAGTAAGCACACATGCATACGCACACCCATCCATCCATACATTCACGCCTAGCTATCTAGCTAGCTACCTATTTGCATGCGTATGTACACACATACATGCAGACACGCGTACGCACCACACGCGTATGACCTACTCACCTAGCTTCCACACACGCCACCTCTACGCATGGAATTATACAAACTTACACACACAATCCACTTACATACGCATGCCTACATACCTACATGCATACACACACACACACACGTACCTATATACATACATTGTACATACATACATACATACGTACGTACGTACCTACCTACCTACCTACCTACATACATACATACATACATACATACACACATACACACACATGCATACATACATACATACATGCATGCATGCATACAGGCAAATATACACAAATACATATACATATACATATTCAAAATACAGATACGTATACATATGCACACACACGTATATATATATATATATATATATGTACGTACATACGTGCGTACATACATACGTGCGTACATACATACATACATACATACATACATACATACATACATACATACATACATACATACATACATACATACATACATACATACATACATACATACATACATACATGCAACACACACATATACTCGCAACACATGCAAACATAGGCATGCATGTATTTGTAGATGACATGCGCACACCTACAAAGACACATGCGCGTCACACATGCATAGTTGCACATGCGCGCCTGTATGCATACGCACCTGAACACACACACACACACGATGACACTTACAAAAGCACAAGCATAACCACAAATGCATACCTCAGCGAACCCAAGGCTTCAAGGCCGACACAACTTAGCGACAAGAGGCCATGCGGACTGGAGGCTTCACCTCCGAACCGCCCATCACATTACCTACCTACCTACCTACCTAGCTACCTACCTACTTCCTACCTACCCACCCTACCTACCTGCCTGCCTACCTACCTACCTACCTACCTACCTCACGTACATACATACAGACAGCCAGACAGACAGAGACAGACAGACAGACAGACACAGACAGACAGACAGACAGACAGACAGACAGACAGACAGTACATACGTACACACACACATGCATACATACAGACATACAGACATACATACAAACAATCGTACGTACATAGCTAGCGTACATAAATGCAAACACGAATGCAAACACACACTCAGACAGAACATACATCTGCCTACCTACATACACGCTTACTTCCATGCTTTCTTCCTGACTTGCCTACTGACCTACTCCTGCGTGCATGCATGTATATATGTATGCAAGCTTCAATGCCACAGCTGTAGCCCTTCTCGACTTAACGCGGAGCCCCCGGAGTGCATGTGGCAGCGCGTGGCGGAACTTGCGCGACATTGAAGCTGGCATGCCGCGGCTGAGCCGCGGTTGGGTTTTAGCTTTTGAAGCCACCGCCTAACAACCACACGCCCTGCGACCAGCTGCAACGCCTTTGTTTTTGGCTCAGCAACCGTAATTAACTCTCACTGGCGTGCGTCGGCCGGGCCTTCGGGTGGCTGGCTTGCGCGCTTGTCTCTGCCATGGCTGCACTCGGGGCCCGGTCCCCAGGTGTGATGTGAGGACCCTTGCTCAGCTGGGTTGCAGTCGTACAGGCTGGTGCCACTGCTGCCGAGCGATGCCCGCAAATAGGAGCCGGCGGTGGTGATCCAACTTCAAGGGTGCCTTTGGCAGTGTAGGGTGATTTGGCACGTCCAGGAGCGCTCCACGTCGAAATCCGTGCGTACAGCAAAGCTAGCCACTGGGCAATGGCTGCGGCTCTTCTTGCCTCGGTCCCAGTACTGGAGACTCAGAGGCAGACGTAAAATGTCCTGCGCAACCATTTCTTCCGTTCTGTTTTTCTGTGGATTGTTGGCTGCCTTGAATGGCCTCTTCTGTGCTGGTTTCCTTATGTGCTAGGGGGCGGATATGCTTTTAAGTTGCAAGGTTGCCCAGCTTGCCTTTTTTAGCCCCATTTCGTATAACCCTAAGGATATGCGAGCGGTGGGGCCTGTTCTCAGTGCATGTGCTCGCTGTCTTCGCTGGCAGATGGCGCTTTCCCTGCTTCTGGGCCTGCCGCTTGAGGTGGCACCGGGACCAATCGCCTACAACTCAGTCGTCGCTTGGACTTTCTTCGCGGTTTTTGTCGTTTTTCGTGGGTACCCCATTTTGGGTGTGTCAAAGGAGGCCACGAGGGAAGCCATCATGTTGGGGGTCCCGTAAGCAAACACACACACACACACAACCTCAAATCCCGTGTTTCCTGTTGGCGGAGCCGATCAGGCGAGTGCCTGCGAACGTGCTAGCGAGTGGCAGCACGCCCTGGCATTGATCCAAGCAATGGCGGCAAACGGGCTGGAGATGGACGCCTTCTCCTTCTGCGCGGGGATTTGTGCGTGCTCCAAAGGCCAGCAATGGCCGGAGGTGTTTCATTTGCTGCGGCGCATGGCGGACACTTCTGTGGCGACGTCTCCGGTGCTTTGCGGCGCGGCGGTGAACGCCTGCGCCAAGGCCGCCAGGTGGGATGGCGCCTTGTACCTCTTGGCGGAGATGGTGAAACAGTCCGTGGAGCGCAGCACCGTGGCCTTCAGCGCGGCCATCAGCGCCTGCGAAAGAAGCGGGCTTTGGGCTGTGGCCCTGGGCCTGGTGTCGGAGATGCGGCAAACGCAGGCGGGAGCGAGAATACGAAACAGCGACCGCCAAAGCAGCTTTGTGTCAAAACTAAGTCTCACGCCAAATGGAAGGAAATGGCTGTGGGTCAAAACCAATGGTACCATTCTGGGGTAGGTGCACCACCCATTTTAGTCCATTTTAGTGGGGATTGGGATGTTCACTGGGACGGGCTTTTGACCCATCACCAAATGAAGGGATTGGTTTGATTGGTGGGGTGGTGGGATAGCTTGCAGCCGGATCGGCGGCTTTGCTTAAGGTGCCGCTGGACACCATCGCGTGCAGCAGCGCCATCAGCGCGTGTGAGAAGGCGCAGGAGTGGAGCTTCGCGCTGGCCACCCTGGCGCCGCTCGGACGGGCGGACGGGCGGCGGGGATCTCCGTTTCACTGTTTCGGAGTTCGGCTTCTCAGGGCGAGGCTGAGTTTTCTCAAAGCCACGGGCAACCAGTTTGCGAAACAGATCAATGCTTCCACTTGCCTCTTTCATATGAAGCTTTCATTTGAGCAAGTGAACACATCGCTAGGCAGATGCAGTGCTGGGACATTGAGGTGGATGCTGTGAGCTTAAGTGCCGCCATCAGCGCCTGCGAGAAATCTGCCAAGTGGGACATTGCCCTGCACTTGCTCCTTGGATTCCGTCGAGTTCTGCGGCTCATTGGTCAGCCTTTGCCTTTGCCCCCGCCCTCGTCCGGAGGCTTGGGCTTTGGCCAGTCTTGGGCCTGCAGACCAGCAACGTGGCCTTCGCTGCAACCATTTCTGCTTGCGAGAAGGCCAGGCGTCAGGGTGTCGGAAAGCAGCGTGGCAAATCGTGGTGCTTGGGATGGGGTGGGGGTGGAATGGTTGCATGCGGCGACAACTTCCCAAAGCATCCGAGATTGAGCACAAATCAATTTGATACTGGTTTGTTCAACTCATTGACTTTGTATGCTTCAATGGACATGGGTGCCCCATGCTTCGGATGTTTTTCTTTTTTTCTCGGGGCCAACATGTAAGCGAGAAAACGCCTGAAACTGCCGCACCGAAGCAGAAGGCATTCCATTCCCGGTCCTCGCTTGATCGGGGAAGCCCAAAGGACGGGGCAGACGGAACATGCCACGAAAGAAGGTCCCGGGTCATACGCTGTTTGTACTAGGCCAGGGCTGCCCAGTTTGCTTCAGTGAGTATGTGGATTTGGCAGAAGGCTTTTTTTCGGGGTCCATGGTGCATCTTTCGGGCAATCAACGCCTGAACGCCGGTCGATCCAAACATGCTCCCGTTCATGTCCTAAAAAATGCAGCTCAGGGGGCCCTGATTTGGTTATGAAATGCTAGCGGATGCTTTTGGCCTGAGCACCCTTCAGTTGGGCAGGCGACTCAATGGACAGCTGCTGGCAACCTGCTTCAGAGGTTGCTGGCGTCCCGCGCTGAAGTGGACGCCTTCTCCTGTAGCACCTCGGATACTGCACGTTTTGAACACTCTTCTTGAACAAAATGTGTGTGTGTGTGTGTGGTGTGTGTGTGTGTGCGCATGTGCGTGCGCGTGTGGGTTCGCTTGTGCAAAGTCTGCGCGTGCCCGCGTACGCGCGCGCGGGTGTGTGTGTAGCTCGTCCCTAGATGAATGACGATGTGATTCTGCTTGCTCACACATCGGCCTTCATGTGCTGTCCGCGGTTTTGTGCAGAGGCGCCACGATGGCAGCTTGTTCCAGGGCAAGGGAGTGGCAAGCTGCGCTTCAGATCCTTGACGGGATGGACCACTGGAAGGTCACCAAGGACGATGTTTGCATTTGCGAATTCGAATGCCATGCATGTTATGCGGTAAGTTGTGTCAGCTTGATGTAGCTTGGCTCGAGGACGCAGTGTGCTACACAGCGGCCATCTCTGCCTGCGCGAGCTCCAGTCAGTGGCAAGCGGCATTGACTCTGCTGGAGCTTATGCGGCTCGATGTGACAGCTGAACCTCGGATGCGAAGCTAAACTCTTTCACATCTGCTTCCATCGGATGCCAGGTCTCATCAATGGCTGCTTTTTTTTTCTCCCCATTTCACGATCATTGCCGGCTGCTTTCTCCTTTTTTGATTGTCACTGTTGACGGCCTGGCTTGCTCTTGCGCAGTTTGGGCTTTTGAAGCTTTGGATCCTTCCCAGACAAGGAGCAGTTTGCCTACAGCGCTGCGTTGAGCGCATGCGAAGCGGTGGGAAACTGGCAGCAGGCCGTGTCCTTGCTGTGGAAGATGCGGCAAGAGGAGCTGGCTCCGGATGGCATGCACCTAGGTCTAGCGGTTGAAAAGCCATTGCCTCCCGCCACTGTTGCCATTCCTTTCCGGCGAAAATTATGCACCTCCCAATGCTTGGCCCCTAATTGGCACGGAAACACTGGTCATCCAACATTTCGAGCGCCGCATCGATGTTTGTTGCGTTGCTTCCGGGCGCAGGTTCGGCCGTCGCCACCACCTTCCACAGCCTGGGGCGGGCAGCTGCCGCAGAGCTGCTGAAAGCCTTCCGGCGGGAGCTGCCCTCATCGCAGATCTCGCAGATCTCGAGCGCAGCTGCGGGTGTGGCACACATGGTGCTCAAAGAGTCCCCGGGGCTGGTGGTGCTGAACAAACCTGCTGGAGTGCTGACAGAAGACTTGCGACTCGGTTGCCAGTTTGTCCCCGAAGCTTAGGAGGTACGGGTGGCTGACAGAGGTTGGACGCGCAAGAAAGTGATGCGCTTGCGGGTTGTGCCGCGGGGCACTTGCCAAGGTTGGCAGCTCTCGGTCGCCATGGCCGAGTCACCACCATCTCCCGCTTGGATGCCCCGACTTCTGGGGTACTGCCGGTTGCCATTGGTGCCAAGAACGAGCCAGCGGTCATATGGTTCAAGTCGCAGTTTGCGGGGCGCCTGGCAAAGAAGGAGTACCTTTGCTTGTGCCACGGTCGCCATGGTCGTGGCCTGGTGCCTTGGAAGCCATGCGCATGAAATGCGGCTGAATGCATCCTCAGCTTTCTTCGATCTCAACTGCTCCAAGGTGGGCGACTGCGTCTCATCCCCGCTCCGGCAGGTGCCGGGAGAACCACGAACAGAGATAAGCAGGGAAGGCCGTGAAGCTGTGACTTACTACGAGATGCTGGCGGAATACTTGCCGTGCGAGAACGCCAGCTTGCCAGAGGAACGTCTCTTCCTGATCCGAGCCAGGCCTCAGACGGGAAGCAGCTGGGCATGAACATCTTTCTGGCATGTCTGACGTATTGTGCCTGGGTGATTTGCTCCGTGAGGCTTGTTTTTCTCAGCTCCGAGGAATGCATCAGATCAGGGTGCATATGGCCAGCATCGGCTTGCCTATTGTTGGCGACCGAACCCTGGATTGAATCCGGAGAGACCTCAGTTTCAAGTCCACTCACTTGCGCCCCAGTTTGAGGTACCCCTACCGCATTGATATTGTTGGATGAACTGCAGAACTCACAGTTCCGACGAAAGGTACTGTGTCTCCTTTGACAGCTAGCTTGCCTGCTGCTTTCCTCCTCCAATCTGCCACGTGCAGTCTTGACAAGAAACAAACCATTCAGGCAACTTGGGTCAAGCATTGAAGTCTCACGCATGCAGGGCTTTTCTTACTTTCTGCATTCGCAAAGAAGTGGGCAGATAGGGTTGGATGAGGGTAAAGTCATTTGGCCAAATCGAGGAGCAATACAACACTACTACTTCCAGTCATACTCTCCACAGTGCCAGTCCAAGTCTCCAAACACAATTCCAAGTTTCCTACACCTGCTTTCCGAACCTTTGTGACAAGCTCAGAAGGGGCCTGAAGGCTTTGAAAAGCGACTTGGAATGTTTCGCATTGATTTCCTATCGTAGGATCGTAGGTCTTTTGGCCAGACAGCGAGAGAGGACCAGAGGTGTAAACTTTAGTTTCGACATTGTGCTTGCCAACGCCATAGACCCAGCTAGATGAAACGCGTGTCTCGAAGCTCGGAAATCAGACAATGTTGTTTAGGCTGGTTGACATAGGCCTGGGGAGGTACTCAGTAAGGACTCCAGCGGTTGTATGCTGAATCGAAGGCCTTGGATGGACACCATGTGCACTGTTCAGCCAAGCCACGCTTTCCGTGAGGACAATATGGCCGACTTCCACCTTCCTGGTGCTCACGGTTGTTCCTTCACTGTCATCGCTTGGAGTGTCTTGGATCGAGCGTGGTTTGGATCCCCGGCCTGGCTGGGGGTGGTTTTCAGGCTCCAGAGTCACCAGCGCCCCAAGAAAAAAAGAAGAAGAAGAAATCGAACAACATGTGTTGTAAGCTACTTGACTCAGGTTGATGGACTGGCACGAGCAGGAGCTTCATGTGGAAGCCCCTCTGCCAGCGGATCTGCAGGCAGTCCTAGACCTGCTTGGCAAAAAGGGCGGCTGGGGCATTGAGTTGTGGAAAGCATTGCGGAGCGACATGTTGCCGTGTTCAGCCACCGTGGTCAAGCATGCTGCTAGAGGGCCCCTCAGTTGACGGCCAGGTGCAGAATGCAGCTCAAGCGTTTTTGCAACCGGTTTTAACGTGACGGACAGTGTCACCCATCCCTAGAACAGCCCACTATTTCTTGACGCTGGTACACGCTGGTGGTTTGTTCAGCCATGGCGGCTGACTGCGCGGATTTGGAATGCAACGGCCACGAAGAAGCCAAATGTCGCTCGCCCGATGATATGTGCGAATGTGCATCGGTGATGGATCGCTGCAATCCTGGTCTGGTGTCTTTTTTTGAGGGACCTTGTTGTGGGTTGCAAGGAGGCCCCAAAGGAAAACCACATTTTTGGGGCTAAAAGGCACCCGTTTATATCCTGAGGCGCTTTAGAGGCTCCAAGCAGCCTCTTTCGAAGCAGGGTGGCAGCTGCAACGTGGCGGAAAAGGGGCTCGCCCGTCTAGGCATCATATGGGGTGTGCCGCGTTTTATGGGACCCTGATTGGTTTTCTGGCGGTTTCCAGAAAAACCGGCCGAAAGGGGTCCCTGAAAAGCAAGACACACAGGTGCCGGGCGCCCCAAATGCAACTGGAGTTCACAAGGTGGAGGCAACCTGTGCGACTCTCCTCAGTCATATGGCTGCCTTGGAGGAGGGATATTTGCTGGAGACTTGGCGCAAATGGTCCCCGCGGTCCGCGGTCCCGAGCTGCCGGCCGGCCGAAGAAGCCGTTTTGACTATGAACAGCCTCGGTCAGCTGAGGACCTCGCAAATGAACTCTCCAAGCGTCAGCCGGAGGTGACACGGCGAAAAAGCCCAACTGTAAGCTGTGCAAGGCTGGTGAGGCTCTCCCCTTTGGCCTTGAAGCATCATTTGGCGAGTCGCGTGTTCCACAACCCCGCTCGCAAACACCATAGCTTGATTTATTGATAGTGCTGCGCAGATGTTCTCAGTGGCTCATGCTCACTGTGCTCAACGCTGGATCTGAGGCACAGGCACAGCGCGTTCCCCAGCAGGCTCGACCCCCACCCCTCCCAACATGCGCCACGCGGTTTGCAAGCGTCGAGGTCAAGAGGAAGAGAAAGGTGAAGCTAAAGAAACGCGTGCAGCTGGAAGAGGACCCGCCAGAGCCAGACACTGAGGCGCGGTGCAACACAACTCGTCCCATTGTAAGGCGTGTGACACATTACGCCGCTGCAGGACCCATCCCAGCAAAATAGCTCGGCGGACAAGGACACGACTGGAGGTCTTTTTCTCCTTTTGAAGATTTTGGTAGGGCACTTTGGTACTTGTACGCGGCCAATCGCTGAAAGTACGCGAATGGCGCATCGCGAATCGCGAATCGCCAGGACTCAAGCCCAACTCTGGGCAGGGACAAAAGCCGCGGCTTGGGCCTGCGGTTTCTTGCGTCGGATTCTCCCCAAAAAAGGAGCCCGGCAGTAAACCCCATAAAGTGGGTTTACCGGTGTACCTGAGTTTTATGCTTGAGGTCTGGCAAGGTTTAAGGGTATTTGCTGAGTGGAACGGGGTCGGTTCGTAAAGAGGGGCTTGTGCAAATCTGTGAGGAGCTGATGCTAGCTTTCCTTTGCAGGTGGCTCCCAAGGTTGCGAAGAGAATCATGTGTTTCTATTCAGCGTGGTTGTTGTCTCCTTGATTCTACTGTTGTCAAGTGGCGGCTACCTCTGTTAGTTTGGCTGAGGCGCCTTGGCTGTCACGGAGGGGGATGTGACGGTCATTGCTGGAAGTGATCAAGCTCTCAACAAGCGTTTGGAGGTAGCGCGGGCGAAGCTGGAGTCTTCGCGGGATCACTCCTTTATGCGGAAGCTCTGCCTGCTAAATGTGGGATACTGTGGGATTGCCAGCTGTTGCTAAAGGACTCGCACGATTTACTCACGTAACTTGTTGGTTACATGACCTCCGTGCACATGTCTAGTAAGAGTCGTGTCATATCGACCTGTGCAAAAGTAGAATCTCCGCGTGCGTAAGGTGGTGCAATCTCGCAGAAATCTTCGAATGTTTGCAAAGCGTTTGCTTGGCATGATTTAGGCTACATCATGACCTTGAATAGCATCCAAGATGAGTTTTCGTGCCTTGCTCTGGGCTTTCAATTGCTCCTGCTTTGCACAGCCGAGGCCGCTCTTCTGACAAACTCAATCCAACCTTTTCAAGTATATTTAGGTTCAAGGGTGCAGCATGCCCTTTTTCTGATTCCTGCACCGCTTTGACTTGAGCAGTGCTGCATAGCGAAGAACACATGTCTTCCCCCTGCTCGCGATAAGAAACCAACCACATCCTGCCTGAAGGGTCCAACCGCATGTTTTGAAGCATTTCTGGACGCATGTGCACATTGTTGCCTGGCTTTTGCTGGCCTCCAGATATCAGATATTTGTGGAGATTGGTGAAGCGCAAGCCGATGCTGAGGACACTGTTCCCCTGCGTACTGCAGTTGGCTTCTATCTCGCAGGGTTTCCGTCTGTTTGCACCTGGCCACGCGGGTTTCTAAAGCTTATCGCGGGTTGCGGAGAGTTTGGCTGGAGTCCTGGAGCCACAATAAACATCCGGGCGATGTGGAAGCAGCGGGAGCATAGTTTTGCCCCTCTCATTGAGACAGCAAGCTGGCTGACTCTATGCTTCAAACGTTTCCGCTGTAGCACGTACTTTTTTGCAGGTGCTATGTTCGGCTAATCACTCACTTTCTTGTGAGTAAAAAAAACTTTCACCTGCTGCCAGCGCAAGGCAGATTCTGCCTTTCAATAGCCTGTGCCGTAGCCTGCAGCTTCGCCGCTTCCGGCACGAGGAAAGTGGAGCACTTCCTGCGGATCGTGCTGGGCCGTGATGGAGAAGATCCAGACGAGGAGACCAGCCAGGGGGACCTTCGCTGGCTGCTTTTCGAGGCCATTGCGGCGTGCCTCATCGCCGCGCCTTGGAATTCAAAAGCCGGCCGTTTGTGAAGGCAGCGAAGCATTTTTTTCGGTGCAAATTGTAAAGCTATGCGTTGCGCAGCATCGAGCGTAGGTGAACTCAGTACTGATGGGATTCGAAGTGCAGTACACATCCAGCTCGTCAGAACCATCGCCTGTGTTCCTTGCAGGCGCGTTGCAAACCTCAAATGGTTGAATTCTATCTTGGAGTGATGTGTTGCTGTGTTGCGCGTTCCCCTGGCCAGGCAGCATCTTCTTCGGTGTCTGGTTCATTGTGGAGGTTGCCATCCGGTTCCAGGCGAACGGGTTCTATACCTTCTTCACGAGTGAAGACCGCTGGTGGAATATATGCGACCTCTTTCTCGTGGGCGTCAGTGTTCTGGCTCCTCAGCTCGCAAAGCCGGCCCCTTTGACCGGACACCAAATCCCTGCAAGCTGCGGCAAGAAAACAACAAAGGGATCTCAGAAGATTTGCAGGCCAAGAGTGTGGAGGGTCATAGGAAATGGTTCTTGAGAAAGCCTTCTGCCGTTGATCTAGTTGTTTGGATTTCTGAGGATGTGATTCTGCTGCTGGTGGGTTTTGCTTCCACAGCGCTCTCCAGCATCCGGGTGCTGAAGATGATCCGAGTGGTTCGCCTCTTCCGAGTCTTTCGCTTCTTCCGGCAGCTGGCAACGCTTGCTCTCATGGTTGCGGATTCTGTGAAACAACTCCTGTGGGCCCTCCTGATGTTCCTCCTCATCATGTGCCATGGCCGGGAGGGCAGTAAAAGCGCTCCAAGGCTGTTTTGGTTTGGTGCAAACTGTTGGAGGGCACTTCAAGGCAAATATATATATATATATATATATATATCTATGTATGTTTGCGTTTGCGTCCTTTCAGGTATGTCTTTGCCATCACGCTCACGAGCTCCTGTACAGATTGGATAAAGATTCACATCGACTTTTCCGATCCTGACTGGAAGCAGAAGCTTAAGAACAGCGACAGCGAGGAGTTGAGACAGGTTCATCGCTTCTTCGGTGACATCCCGCGAAGTGTGTACACCCTTTTTCAGACGACCTTGGGCGGCATCAGTTGGTACGAAGTGACGGATGCCCTGTTGAGTGTGGACATCATATCTTTCTGCCTGATGTTTGCTTACATCATTTTCACAATTCTGGCCTTGCTGAATGTCTTCACAGGCAGGGTGCGCTTGCATTTGCCGGGTTGAGCTGAAGGCATGAATTCATCGATATGCTTAAGCAGGACAACACATGTGGCCTTGGCCCTTCCCAACAGAGCATGTACTGCTGGGCACAAGGCGTCTTTGTGGACAACGCAGTGCAAAATTCCAAGAAGCAGCGGCAGATTCAGATTGTCGCTTGGTTTCAACTCTCAGCTTTGTTTTGATGCAAGCATTGCCTTCCCCCTCTCTCAAGGCTTGTTGCTCGCAGCACTGTCACAAGGAAGAAACGCTCGAAAAGAAGAGGATGGGCCTTGATCAGATCATCGAGTTTTTTGTCGCCACAGACTTGAATGGTGAAAGCCTCAGTCTATTCAGTTGGCAGTGCCTTTGCGCGGGGTAAGGGTGGGGCCCATACGCATCAGCGTCCATCAGTCTTTGCCTTACGCGCTGCCTTGCCAAGGTGATGGAACAATCAGCCTGGCAGAAATCCAACATCTGCTGCAAGATCCTGTCATGAATGCATCAGACTCAGCTTGGCAGTTTATCTGGGCGGCGTATTGTCAGCGATGTACACAATATCCAAATCTTGCTCTTGCATCTCCGGCAGCGGCTCACGCACAGCCATACACACACACATGCCACGCCGACGCCCATGCGCGCGCAAGCACGCATACACATGCGCCCTCGCATGCGCACATGCACGGACTTTTTCATTTGCGCGCAAATGCGCGGGCACACGACGCATGCGCGCGGGCGCACGCATGTGGGCCCGCACACGCGCCCACGCGCCCGCGCGCCCGCCCGCCCGCCCGAGTGACTGAGTCAGTGAGTGAGCGAACAAGGGAGTGAGTGAGTGAGTGAGTGAGTCAGTGGGTGGGTGGGTGGGTGAGTGAGTGAGAGAGTGAGTGAGAGACAGAGAGAGAGAGAGAGAGTGAGTGAGTGAGTGAGCGAGCGAGCGAGTGAGTGCGTGAGTGAGTGAGTGAGTGAGTGAGTGAGTGAGTGCGAGGGAGGGAGGGAGTGAGTGAGTGAGCGTGAGTGTGAGTGTGAGTGTGAGTTTGAGGGTGAGGGTGAGTGTGAAAGTGAGTGAGTGAGTGAGTGAGTGAGGTGAGGTGAGGTGAGGTGAGGTGAGGCGAGGCGAGGCGAGGCGAGGCGAGGCGAGGCGAGGCGAGGCGAGGGGAGGGGAGGTGAGGTGAGGTGAGGCGAGGTGAGGGAGGTGAGTGAGGTGAGTGAGGTGAGTGAGGTGAGTGAGGTGAGTGAGGTGAGTGAGGTGAGTGAGGTGAGTGAGGTGAGTGAGGTGAGTGAGTGAGGTGAGTGAGGTGAGTGAGGTGAGTGAGGTGAGTGAGGTGAGTGAGGTGAGTGAGGTGAGTGAGGTGAGTGAGGTGAGTGAGGTGAGTGAGGTGAGCGAGGTGAGCGAGGTGAGCGAGGTGAGCGAGGTGAGCGAGGTGAGCGAGGTGAGCGAGGTGAGCGAGGTGAGCGAGGTGAGCGAGGTGAGCGAGGTGAGCGAGGTGAGCGAGGTGAGCGAGGTGAGCGAGGTGAGCGAGGTGAGCGAGGTGAGCGATGTGAGCGAGGTGAGCGAGGTGAGCGAGGTGAGCGAGGTGAGCGAGGTGAGCGAGGTGAGCGAGGTGAGCGAGGTGAGCGAGGTGAGCGAGGTGAGCGAGGTGAGCGAGGTGAGCGAGGTGAGCGAGGTGAGCGAGGTGAGCGAGGTGAGCGTGGTGAGCGAGGTGAGCGAGGTGAGCGAGGTGAGCGAGGTGAGCGAGGTGAGCGAGGTGAGCGAGGTGAGCGAGGTGAGCGAGGTGAGCGAGGTGAGCGAGGTGAGCGAG